TTCACAGACGTAAAAGAGGCAGACAGACACAAAGGTAGAGGAAAGAGGAAGGTGAGTGCTGTAGAAGTGATCAACTATGGCATACAGTGGGATTGTGGTAGCTTGAAGTCAGAAGTCAACTGCCAGTTAATAGACTTTTTTGAAGTTTGAGTATACATTGCCCAGGATGCACCACGTGGAGGTAATTCTATCGCACACTATGGAACTAAAATACTTATATATATACATATATACATATATATATATATATATATATATATATATATATATGTATATGCATGCATTTATAATTATATGTATAATTATTGAACTTCTGAATTTACTCATCCCGGGATAGTACTTACTTCCATATTTTGGAGTTTTTACTCAACCCCAAAAAAGTTAACAATTATAAATGCCAAATACGTAAATAGTTTCTGGGATTTATGAACTGAAGCAATTTTCTTTTGCACGAAATAAGCGGTAAATGCTAGCCAACTAAGTACGCCACTACTGGTATTCAAAATGACAATTACGTAGAAATATTATATCTACAAAGATTTTATTCGCTTCAAATTTCTAAGCAGTCACATTCACATACGCTCCAGAATGATGACCTTTTACGTGTAACTATGTACATTTGGGAAGTATATACAAGGTTTTAGGCTTTCTTAATTAACAAAATCATAAGTAGGACCAAGGTCAAAAAATAGCAGACACAAGGTGAAAAAAGACACGGAGGGGGGGGGGGGGGGGGTTGGCATGTCAGAACAAGCACATCAGTCAAAGTTTTCATGTTTCAATTACTGTCGAATTCGGCGCAACCTGCGGAACCTGTGAATTGATCACCTCCTCTATGAGTTCCCTCTGAGTTTGATTTGTTTTCCCATCTGCGTAAAGAGGCTTCAGTGGTCGAGGTTTTCGAGTCTTGTGTCCCGGTCGAGGGGGTGGCTTCCAGTTTCGTGGGAGGCTTTTATTGTAGGGAAAACCTCTTGGCTTTGTGGGAACCTTTCCCCCACTTGCAAGGTAGTCTACAAGATAAGCAATTAATTAATTAATGCAGGGAGTTTTACCACCTTGTCAGCTACTTAGAATTAATTCATAAAATGGCCGTTAAAAAAGAAATTTCTTTTGGAGGAAGCATATACTGTAAGCACCTTTGTCATCTTTGTTAGTCGTAAGTTTATAAAGAACTTGTGCAATGCAGAGTGATATCTCCGTCTTAAATATAACTTCAGAACTGAACTTACGATCAAAGCCCCAGTTTCGCAAGTTGAATGACACAAAATTAAGCCAACATTTCCATTTTCTTCAAATTATTTCAACGAAAACCCGTATTTATAGAATATTTAATCAATTATAATTAGAGTTCAAATATTTACTAATGAACTTTATTCCTTTTGAAAAAATTTACTTCATTGCCTTTTGGCTAAAATACTCCACTTTCTTCAAAGGTATGTTAAACTTAAAGGGCATTCATGAAGTGCCGCTGAATAAGAATCAGAACTCGCCCACTTCATGGAAACGATCAAGGCCTAAAATAATTTAATTCAGTGCATTCTAAGTCAAGACGGCACAAAATATCTGGTATAAAATTTTATAAATTTACTTAATTCTGTTCCATTTGCACAGAATGAGTTATTCCACTTACCCGGAGCCCCATAGCAACTGACAACGAGATCATGAAGCACTCGATTGCACTTCGCACCCCAACTCAGTAGATCAGCAAGTTGTAGTATCTGTCCACGAACCTCTAATTCACTCGGAGCTTTACCGGCCTGAATAGTAAAAAAAGGAAATCATTATTTAATTCGCATTATTTACGTCGTATCGGGAAGAAAACGCATAGAATTAAGATAATATTTAAAATAAGAGTTTTATTTGGAGAAGTCTATCTTGAAAGGATGAATTTTCTTCCTCTCATATTGAAATAAGAGTTTCTGTGTTTCAAAGATGTTTTCTTTTGGTTTTCTTAGTGACAATTACATCAAATACTGATTTTGAAGAGTAAAAAGCACGCTTCTTCTAATATTTCACTAGTCGCATACTTAAAAACTCATTTTAAACCCGATTCGCTATTGATTTGAGGGGGGCATTCCTTACTTCTTTCGAGTTGCAGAGAGGCATGTTTTGGATAGACCAACCCATATTAAGTGTCAGAAATACAGTTTGTTGAGTCCCAAGAATGCCATCGACTAACCCTATCTGAAAGGGTTATCGAGACAATTCGAAGTGGGTTAACAAAGTTAACGTATTGGGTGACCCAATTTGTGACTGAAAATGAAGTTTCGCCTTTTCCAGCCATCAAATATATTCCCATGGCACTCTACACTCCCTATCATTAAGAAGAAAGTTCTTGTGGTCAATCGCTGCCTACTTCTGTCTCCTTCCCCATCATAATTAGCACCAACAAGTGTGAACAGTTGCTAACAGTTGTGGTTTTCCGTCTCTTTGGTCTTTTTAAAACACAACGACGGTTGTGTTTTGAGAGAAACATTGGTATGAAACACCTGTTCACTCAATTCCACCCCACTTATTCGGCACTGGACTGTAGCACAAACGCCATAATGTCACTACCACTATTTGTTATTGTGGTTTGCTGGTCTATGTTTTCCATGTGATTAATGTTATAACCACGGCTTGGGTGCACAGCAATGTCGCTTGGCTGTTTGCTAGCACGATGCAGGCACAACTGGTGCATTCGTGGCAATGAAATTAGATATTTACAAGTGCTACAGCTGATTTTTAGAGTTCAGGTACCTGTTGTAATTAGGGCTTTGAATTCTCTTCTGCACCATGTTTGCTGGGAAATTCCTCGAGATGAAAAGAGATGTAATAGACAATACTCAGATTGCAAAAAAATGCGTCTTGAAAATTGTGGAACGAAAGTTAAAATTCGATAATTTTAGACAGAATTAATGAGAAAGCCTAGGTAAGAAATACAAGGTCTCCCGATGGTATATAATAAAATAGTTCACGAATACCTTAAGTTCTTGGTTTTTAAGCCATCATCTAAGTTAGTGATTAACACTCAACTCTTCTTTGCCAATAAATTCATTTTATGCGATCATTTTCTTAAAAAAACTTTTAACAAACACACCTGATATAAGTCATTAAGTTTATTTGAAAAACAAGGAATATCAAATTCATAGTATTGGATTACGAAAATTGCTCGCTTACGACTTAAAAAAATATTACATAACAAAAAGAATGAGAACTGCCCTATAAAACGCTAATCTTCATAATTCAAATCGAAGTAGAATTTAATAATATCGAATAAAATGTATTCTAAAATACCTTTTGGTCAAGTAAAATAAATAATTGGGGTGTTTTGTTTGACACATTTTAAAACACACATAAGTAAGATGATTTTGCAAAACCCTGATAATTCATTACTCCAAAAGAATTACGTGTTTCTAGGGGATTAAAAATAGAAAGATAAAACCACAGAAGGAATACTTCGATTTAGGTTATATTAAATGATAGAATTGAAACCGTGTTGAAGTATTGCCATCATTATGTCTTTATTCTACCACGAAGGCAACCCGACATGGTTTTGAAGATGCTCATTCAGTGAAAATGGGCACAAATGTGAATATTCAATTGGATTGACAGCAATTTTTTGCACAGCAATAATCAAGTGTAAAAATCTTAAATACTTCAGGCAACAAAGAATTTGGGGCTAAAATGAGTAACCAATCACAATATAACATATTCCTTGTTCATTATTTTCCATCTTTTGTCTTTAAAATAGATAATTAAATAGGAATCCACAACTATATCACTTCTCTGATAAGAGCTCAGCGTACTATGGCAATGCCATAGGGCATATAAACGATTTAAGGCAAAATTGCTTAATGAATTAGAATTAATTAAATTTAAAGACGATGATTACATTTAATTGCAGAGATTTGATTGAACTAACTCAGAAAACATCAAATTTCATGATTCTCACAATATAACATTAAAGCTTTTTAAGGGTAAATTACTATTTTGAAATAATACTCTCAAGGGGAATATTTGATAGGTGAATTGGGAGTTATATAGGTCACTGCCTAGAGAAGTAAAGAATTGGTTCTTGTCGAGACCATGGTGAGTAGATAGACTCTCCTAACTCGTCACTATGAGGCTATGGAGTAAAGTGGCTTTATACTGACGGTATCACAATGCCTTGTAAGGTCGCGTGTGAGGTCGGAAGTTCATCAGCGTAAGCGCGGAGAGAGAGGAGCGGGGGTGGGGGGGTGAGAGAGATAATGCTGTTCTCCCCTGGATTAAGATGAGCATTGAAAGCACCCTCCTAAATAAGCCAGAGAATTGCCACAAGTATTTGCTATTAAAAGTGTCTCCGGTATGGCAGTCCAGAGGTAGGAGTTTAAGGACTTTTCAATGAAACCAGATATGATCAATCGAATTGTTAAAAACTGGCCTTATAAAGCTAATGGTTAACAGGGAGCTTCTTGTAGGATGAATCCCGAAAAACGTGCTGCATAATGAGAATGGGTACTAATTCAATGCTGGGAAAAACCTATTGCTTAGAAATCGAAATTAGGTCATGCAAAGAATGCAAATGCGTTTGTAAAAGGTGAGTAATTCAATTTGAATATTATTTGAAGAAAGTACTTTTGCATTCTGATAGATTAATGAAAGCGAATATTAGGTTCTTACTAATAGCCTATAACTCGTAAGCTTAAAATGATGAAATCATAATAGTAATAATAACACAATTCAGAATCAAAGGCAAATTCAAAAATTTCCTTTAAAAAGAAGGTAATCATTCGCAGTTAAATAGGAAAATCTTTTTTATACGGACTTCGAACTCCTTTGAAGTGGAATTTCAAGGTCTTTAAATGAATTGTTGGTAAAGACGACTATTTTTAGGAGCGATGCTTTAAGTACAATACTCCACTCCTATTTATATGAATAGCAAACACTTTGAGGCTAAAGGGTTTAACGAATGGGGTGCCTATACATATTTTTAACTTTGAAGCTCTTATTCTTGTAGGTCAAAAGAGCTTGGGCATATTACATATTTTATATTTTTAGTACCTCTCAAATAACTATTTTTTTCTAAGTGTCGCAAAAATGTTTTTTTTTGAAGATACTTATTTGTATTTTCACATAATTACTGAAAATATGTTTCTAGGAATGATCATATTACGTAAATCAGACTCTCAATGCACCTAATCCATGAAAGTTAAGTTGACTTGTTGGAAGACTAGAAAATCACCATATTATGGAGGCAGTAAACTAAAAGTGGATGTAATATATTAAAATTTGATTAAATATGATTAAATAATACGTAATTGTATTAAACTATCATTCATATAGTTTTTTCAGTGTCTGATATCGATAGGAATCCTGTATTCTGGCCAAGAATGTCGGCTTTTACATTTCAAGTAGCCATTTAAAACCACGCAAAACAGATCCCTTTTAGGGATGCAACACAGTAAATATGCTGGTTGGAGTAATTTATCGAAGTCCAATAAAGCTCTATGTTTCAAGCTGCCACGTCAATTAATCTTTAATTAAAAGAAAGGAAAACCTAAAAAAGCACAAATTTTGTGAAAAAACCAAAATTTATTCTTGAAAGAATTTTTTCTCAAATTATTAATCCCTGACTACAAATGCACTAAATCGTATACCATCCGTTCAAATCTAATTGATTAGCAGAGATAGCGTTCACATAAACAGAACTGAGGGTTGACACGGAGAAGATTCAAACAATTAGCAAGAATTTCTCTCAAAGTAAGAAATGGGGGGGGGGGGGGTAAATTATCAATTTATTAAATTAAATTTTAATCATACATTTTTATGAAACGAATTTTAAGAGATCAATTTTTTAAAGGATGCTACTGTGATAGTGTTGATATGAAGGTAATTCCACTTAGAATACGTCTGGTTTACCTTAAGGATACTCAAAGACTTCACTTGATCAATAATTGAGCCTCCGTAGACAAATCAATTAGGGCATGCAGTGACTCATTCCCAAAACAGACCAATAACAAGTAAGAAATTTCGTTTAGTGTCCACCGCGGAAATGCCGCTGAAAGGTATAAATGCCAGGGAAAATGGATCGAAATTAGGAGGATAAGGAATGTCATTTATACCCGCACATCAGCTGTAGCAATTTAGTGAGACGCGCATATACAATAGTGAAAGCAGAAAGGTCACTTCATTTGCACGGCAGATATCTTTCTTTCTAGCTTTCTTATTCCCACCTTCCATCACCTAATAAATGGCAGTTCTCTTCATGCTAATGTGAATTAGGCGCTTTGTCAACTCACTTTCTCTATTTTTCACCTCTAAATTTCTACAACAACCAGAAAAAATTCGCCCTTTTTTCAAAAAGTTAGGTGTGATAGAGGTGATGGAAAAGCTGAAAGCTCAGGAGACCATATTTTCAAAAAATGGTTTTATATGATTATTAATATAGCTTCACAGATGTTTATAAAGTTCATTTCAGAATCAATTGAATCGAAGTCCATCTCGGCTGCAGTATTTATTACTGATCTTGAGCCGACGTCGTAGCGATTTCTGCCAAAACGGTTGTACATTCCATCCGCCTGACATTAGAGATTAGCCAGTGATCAGACATTCCTTCCCCTCACCCCCGCTAATAGTGACACACCACCTCTTCTACTGGTGCTAATACCCCACCAATAGCACCCGTCAAGCAAATTCCACGGTTTTGCGATAGATGCATGAAAACCTGTGTACCTTTTTTTATGTGGTGGCGCTAGGAATGTGGAAGTCTAAATATAGCGTCTCAGTTAATGCTAATTACTCATTAGTTACCAAGGTGATTGACTTACCCTTAAAGGGTAAAACGTAAATTTCTGTATCGTAATGAGGTGAAATTTGAGAATATTCCAAGTTACCTTAACCTTTTAAATTTCGCAAAATAAAAATAGAACCAAAAGAAAGATCGAAATAATTAGTTTTCAAAAGGGCAAAAATTGATAATTTAAGTTACGATAAAAGAATCTTTCAAGTCACACTTTATCAGCAGATTTAGTTGAAAAGCCATCAATTAGCTTTGATTTCTGCCAAATGTAAAGTTCAATGCAATCTTTTAAATCAAGAAAAAAAAACCGAAAAATGCAAAGCAATACAACTCAATTAAAATACAGGAAAACTCTAACCACCATTAATTAAAAACTAGTATTATGATCTTGTTGAGTGGTTCATAAAGCTTTTCTTCTGAAAAATTTTAAGAACGCAGTTTTCTTATTTGGCAAGGTATATAATGAAAAAAAGTCAATAAAAATTAAACTAATAACTTAAAAATTTCACTATTGTGTTAGCTATTATTTTATACATTTATTCATTATAATTTGTCAAACCAACAACTAGCCCCAACTCAATTTCCCCTAAACTTATAAAAAAATACATTTTCCACTGATTCCTGCAAAAAATCTCATTGGCTTTAAAACAATTTTGTCCGAATTCATTTTAGCCCTAATTGAGAGCAGAAGTTAAAGACTGTAACAAAATATTTGCGCTGAAAGTGTTGTTTATTTAAATACACCATCAAAATTGGGGCAAAAGTAAACACAGCATCCAGTGCGCAATTCTCTGACTAATAGGATACCCAAAAAGTCCTCCACTTTATCTTTTAACACTTAAACACAAAGAAGCACCAGGAGTGTGAATGCAAACTTAGCCGTATTAGCATTAATCTAATATTTAGCATAATACAAATGAATATTAACAATAGAGTCCCCCGAAAGTAGTAATCAACATAAGATCCCAATTGAGTTCCAACTAACCTTTGCTCGCGCAATAAGGGAAGATCCACTATTTGCATTCTGTACATAATGATAATTGATAATAAGGCCGATAATAACAATCTGGAGGAGTATCACAGTAAGTAGGAAAGCAGAAACAATAATAAGAGCCTTTGATTTGAGACGAATAGATCGTTTAGATTGATGGTGCTGGGTAATAGTTGGAGTGAGGATCGGAGGTGGTGGAGGCGGTGAAGGGGGAAGCAGTTTCTGGTTGTTGTTATCTTTGGAGTTTTTAATGACTAATGCATTTCCACCATTTGGAAGATCCATCGGGTTGACTGGAAGACGAGTGGCGTCTGCAAAGACGGGGTGTATAATTGCCAGGATGCAGGAAATCAGAGAGGGTGCGTCGTGAAGTTAATATATATGTGTGCGTGTGTGTGAATGTGTCCAGGCCCAAGGTGTGACCTACGCGCATATGGTACAGACAGGTGCTTCTTTTTCACACACGCCTTCACAAACTCCGCACCCTCGCGTTCTCCACACTACCAGTCATTGGCTAATTTCTCTCCTTCTGTGCACAGTTTGTAATGGGGAGGAGGAGATGTGAACGTGAGCTGGGGAATGTCATTGGACGAAGAGCGTGCTAGCTTTACGACCGTCTCTTCGCTGAATACTGGTGAATGCTGACTGTGATCGGATACTTATTATCATCAAAGCCTACTTTGAAGCAATAGTTGTCCACAGAAATGGTTTAATTCATCAATTTAAATATTTTAAAATATTCCTTATATTGTTTCCTTAGTAATTCTTACATCCATTTGACAAATAGCCCAAAAGAGAACTGAGGAAAGATACGAAGGACATTTATAGTTTAATATAGATTACCTTTGTTATTAATGGGTTTATTAAAAGCATAAAATCATTGTAAGAATTAATCAGAATTCTTTACAACCTTAAGTTAAAAACTTGCTTGCACTTCCTGGAGAAAGAATATTTCTCAAAATTTGTGAATCACGACTGATTGTAGTTCATTTTGCGACATTAGCCCTAGTCAACTTTGTCGTACAACAAAGGTTTATATAACTTTTGCTGTGTTAATATGGGGTGTGCGATAGACTTACCTCCACGTGGTGC